TTTAAACAGACTAAAAAGGAAAGGAGGTCATTCTTTTTTAAACGGAGGGAGTATTATTTTGCAAGTTTCATTCTTGAGAGCTAAGAGACGACCCAGGGCTATTTCTTGAAGGTTTTCCACCTCTTCTAGGACTAAAGGTAAAGATCTTACTCCCCTAATCCGTCTTTCAATTCGTAGAACTTAGATTCTTGGGCAATTATTGTTGGGGGAAGGTTTTGATCTGGAATTAATGGTGGAAAAAGTCCTAAATGGGGTATTGGGATCTTGGGATTGACCTAGGGTTGATAATGTTGATTGTAATCGGGGTAATTAGGCCTCGTTTATTGATCCTTGTATTTAGTTGTTGTTTTAGACCACGAACAAGCGAAAAGATTTCGGAAAGGAAAGGATCAAGTGTCTTAGGAGGATTCAAGCTTGATTTCGAGGTAGGTGATGGTTTGATTTCTTGTTTATGTAATGTATGTGGATTGATTGCTATATTGTATGCATGCGTGTATGCTAATCCGATAAAATGTGGAAACGATCCTAATGAAATGACTATGAACAATACATGCCATGAACTTGTGTACTTGACCATATGATTTAATTCGAGTATTGTACATTATGGATGTGATTGTGGTTATGCTGATTGGATCGGGTGTCACGTTCCGACACACTAATAGTTTGGGTATGGGTTCCATGATAGGACCATTGTGTTGTTATATCTATTGCTATTGAGAATGTGGAATTGTACATTGCTCCTGAAATGATAACTGAATTGTGTTATGTATATGTGTGCTTATTATATTGTGATTGTCTTCGTATATTGTGCTTATGGGGGCAGCCGCATGATCCTACCAGTACATTGTGGTTGTGTATAGATACTGCGCTTGCTCTTTCTTTGTTGAGTACAAGGCATCTTCAGACGGCTACTAACCAACCTCGTTTAGGAGATCGCTGATCGAGACCGAATTTCAAGGGTGAGCCAGTTCTTTCAGGCTACCATGGAGTCCTTCATTTTGTTAGTCCATTCTTTTCGGACTTAGACTATTTAGTTATTTCTTATGTTGGTTGGGGTTGTACCCTTTGTTCTTAGACTTGTTGAACTTTAGATGGTTTGGTACAACGACTTCCAGGTTCTAGGGGTTATTTCCGCATTAGTTGTTAGATGTTAGTTGAACTTCCGGAGTTTATGGGAACTTCGTATTAATTATTTAGTTATTTAAACTTGCTTCTGTAGCTTTAAATGCGTAGTATTTGGTTAAATTGCTTAGTTGAGTTGTAGTTATGGTTCTCCCACCGAAGGGTTAGTATGGGTGTCAATCACGACGGTCTGGGTCGTGACACTGGATACTTATGTATCCGACTGACTTGATAATTGGAGAAAAATAAGGAATTTTGGAAATATTTTAAAATGATAGGAAATAATGGAAATTGTGAAAAATAATAGTGTATATATGTAATTTATCCAGAGAGAGAGAGAGAGGGGAAGTGGGCCAAAAGCCCAAAAATGCACCAGCAACCACTTTTAGACATCAGCAAATGTAGGCCTAAAGGGCCCAAAATCAATTTCTCATTTACTCTTAAATTATTTAATTGTGATTATTGATTGTTTGTTGTTTATTAACCCTAACTTTAGAATTGTTAATTAATTAGTCGAATTTCCCAAATGATGAACTATTTTCTTTGTGTTGGCTTATTTTAATAAATTTTATTTTTCAACTCTTGCTTTCTTAATTTACTTATCCAATTCGGTCAAAACTTTTCACTTATCTTTAATTAATTTAAAATAGTTTTTTGCCTTAATTGACTAAATTGGTTTAAGTTATGATCTTTAAAGTGATTCAACAAGATTCTTACATAGTCTGTTTTTTAAATTGAACAACTTGGTTCTTTTCACACTATTATGGATATGAAAATAATGGTCAAAATCTTATTCAATGTTGCGCGCCTAGGAGGGGAGCGCATTTTGGGATGCGGAGTGGCTATTATCGTCAAGCTCCCTAACCTTATTTTTAATCTATTATTAAAAGTTTTAGTCTTAATTTATTCTTTTTTAAAAAAAAAAAAAAAAGGGGTTCTAGTCACTTTTCATTTATTTCAAATGTTTACGTTACCTTCCACTTTTCTAAAAAAACTCAAAAAAAATAATCTTTACTTAATCATTTTCACAAAGAGTTAGTCAATTATCTTTCAAATTGTTGGACGTTAGCGGCTACTTTAAGTGTCAATACCTTCTTAAAGTAGAAATAAGAAGCTCTTGCCCATTTTCTCTAAATTTATAAAGACTTTCTTTTTAAATGAAATTTTCTTAATTTTTTTAAAAAAAAATAAGTGGCGACTCTTTTTAAGTATTTTTCCTAAATCGTTTTACACTTGGAACATTTCAAAAAGTGGATTTTTCTAAAGATTGATATATCTCAATGTAACACACATTACATAAAATAGTCATTTTCTAAATTTCTTAATATTCAAAATTTTGAAATCAATTAAAAGTTTTATTATTATTATATATTTCCTTATTTAATTCAACTAAGTCCTAATATTTAAAAATTGGATAATTTTAGACAATTCTTCTGAGGTTTTGCTCTGTAACACTAACCTCTCTCGTGTAGAATATTACACTTAGCTTTCTTAATTTGATTTATTTATAACTATATTTCCTTTTATTTATTATTAATGTAGAAAAATCATAATTTGACTAATTTGCCCTCACCAAGATACTTTTCCATTTACTATTTTTATAAATATCATTTACTATTTCTTTGTTTTTAATTTATTAAATCAATTAATTGTTAATGCTTACTATAAAATAAAGAGGAAATGTGAACATATTCCAAGTTCCAACCGTATACTACTGCTTTTTCTTCCATCATATGTATATACTTTTTCTTTAAATTCGGAACGTGTAATAATTCAGTCTATTGTTCAAATATAACCAATGTTTACTTCTTTTTTGTCAATTTATCCAAGTTTCAACATATCATTCATGAAATTGTAGTTCAATCAAATTTTAAAACAAATTCATTGTGTTTCTTTCAACATTGTATTTTAATCAATCAAGTTAAAAGTTACCAGACGTATCACAAAGCTACTTTCAACTAGAAAGATGAAATTGTTCAAATAAAAAAGTGATGTCACTTAACGCGAATTATGGTGATTTTTGAAGAGAACCACTGAATTTTGAATATTAAATAGTGCAAATCAAGAAATGGTGGTAAACATTACCGTGACTTTTGGGGAAAAATCCTACATAAAGAATGACTTCTAAATTGGTACAAACTTATCATTAATATTGTGAATTAGAAAAGAAGATTTTAGAAGCTATAAGACATATCATGCACAAGTTTTGAACATCAACTAGACAATACATATATATTTTGCCGATAATTCAAAGGGAAAATTGTATATAATAGCAAACTATTAATTTAAATTAAATGTTATAAATATACTTTGATTTAATTGTACCCTATAGCAAACTATTGTTCTTTTCGCCACTCTCCCTGGTGGAATCTCGCTCGCCACTCTCGTTTGGTGGCAGTCTCGCTCGCCTCTCTCACTTTATACAAAAATACAAATGTATAAAATGTGTTTGTGTTTGTATAAAGCGAGAGAAAATTGTATATATACATATATTTTCGTTCCCCTCTCTCCGCTCTCCCAAATCTCGCTCGCCACTCTCCTTGATCTCGCTCGCTCACTCGCCTCTCTCACTTTATACAAACAGAAACGAAATGTATAAATTGCACTTCTGTTTGTATAAAGCGAGAGAAAATTGTATATACACATGCAAATACATATATCTTCGTCCTATACACTTATAATTATACAATATAAATATTTCCCTACCCAGTTTTCTTTTGCATTTCTCTCTTTCTCGTTTTATACATACACAGATTATACAATTGATCTTTTGTATACAACTGCTTATTTTTGTATATGTATAGCGAATTATACAACTGCCTTCTTTGTATATGTACATCGAATTATATATATACAAAAAATTAGGTCTTAGGAGCTAATTTTTTTGGATTATACAATTTTTACTTCAGATGTTTACGTTTCGATATTGACTCTGCTACCTACATTGGCATAAATTGAATTGTTATGATTTTATTTTATTTTGTGTCAATTCTTTATGATGTACAATCTTCTCTCCTTTCTCTTCAACTCGATCATGTTGGACAATTTCTAATTTATTGAGGGGGCTTACCTATGTTATTTTGCTCAATCTGTGAGGTAACTGTGAGACCTTGATAGAACATAAGAGTTGCAATATTTGTATACGTTATACAACAATTTATGCTAACTGATGTTTCGGTACTAGTTTTCTTGGAGAATTATATTTGTAACAAAATAGTGATAGACACCCAAAATAATTATACAATTTTTTTGTATATGTATATGTATATGTTTGCTATGAAGCGCAATTATGCAAACTTTGTTATATCATACAAATATGATTTTTTTGTTTGCTATATGTGAAAGTTGCTCTAATTCAAATTCAGTTCAGAAATTAATAAAGTCAAGATAGAAAAAAATTACACAAACAATTAATATAAGTATAATAATGTTTCTATCTACAGGAGATCTAAGTAATGAGGGATTGCGGAGGGAATCCATTTGTCACCGTTTATGAAATTTTTTACTGTGAAATTTGATACGATTTGAGGATCATTAGTAGTTGATGCCCACTTTACACGCCTCTTTGTATCTGCACTGACTCCTTTATTCTGATATTCCAAATAGTATGGCTGGACTATGGACTTTCCTTCAAATTCTATCCACCCTCTTGGATTTATCAACATATCTATGTAACTTTGCATAATTATGGTACGTGAAAAATTTCCCCATGGCCGACCTAAGTACATAGCTACAATATTGTCCCCCGCATCTGGAGTTGCTAATCTCAACGTACAATTTTACAATACGAGTCCGGTTGCTCCATTGTCACTTCTTTATTGTGCTATGATGGCGATGTATTAACCTTTCAGTGGCTTACGTACTTCAATTAAACAACTTTAAAATATTGCAGTTTCATCACCACAAATGAAGTCGATGGTGCCCAAAATTATACATTCTCTGTAGAACTGCTTGTCATAGTGTGTATATATGGTGTCTTGAAAACCATCAAATTGACACCTATAGAAGGCGGTGAACTCGGCAGATGCCCTTAAAGCTACCGCTTGAAAGTTAGCAGCTCCAGCCGTGTTCCGAAAAGCAATATCTTGTGCCATGAAGCCTTTTTCATCCACCCCTTAAAAGGAAACAAAGAAAAAAACATCAGAGCGATGATATATATAAGTATTACGTAACTTAGCAAGAAAAATTACATCTATTTTTATGGTTAATTTGAGTTATATATCTAATCAACTTACCCACAGTAGCAATGTTGTACGTCCCTATTCCACCTCCATAACTCTTATTTCCTGATATTATTGTTTTGTCCATTCCTTCTCCGATGAAAACAATGTTCATTTTTCATGAGTCAATTTGGACATATTCTTCATAGATTCCTTGTCGGATTTGAATATAGTATTGTGCAATACTGTTATTCAGACTCGCGAATACAGCTGCCATTATAGTGTTATAGTTTCCCGATCCGTTCTTGGCTACTATAACATTAGGAGGATGTGAAATATTTTGACATCCTCCACATTGTAATATAAATAGTAACAAAATAACGATAGCCATAAATTTTACGTTATGAGAATTGAATAAACGCAAAAAGGCAATAATTTGATTTTCTTCGAGTTGGCTCATTTTTTTTAGCAAGAAATACAAAAAAAAAAAAAAAAGATAGAGTATATGCTTAAGTGTTGTGCATGCATTCAAGCTATCAAGATTGTTATGTATATATAGATATTTGGAGAAAGAATTAGAAGAAGCGAGTTGAGATATATTATTTAGTACTACCAAATTTATCCATATTTGATTATTTGAAACTTTTACACTCATTAGCTTTATTTAGATAAATAAATTCAAATTACTACATAAAGAAAAACAAAATCATAGCAAACTTAGGTGACTAAACTAAGAAAAATACCAACATTGCGATGTTAAGGAGTAACATAACTACCACTCAACTTATTGCATGGAGAAAAAAGAAGATAAATCTGAAAAGTGGGACCATATGAATATTTTGTTTCTTTTTAAATTATAAAGAATTTATGGGTTTTTTTTAAAATTTCTCACTCGATATTCATATTAGCATCCGATTAAATTTATATTTGTACATTGTAAAACTCATTTCTAAAGACAATGCTTCCAATTGGCATATGCTTTTTAAATGAACTCTCGTGTGAAACATAAGATAACTTTTAAAAATGTGGTAATATAAATAAGATTGATTATAAATATATCTTAGTACTAGGGCCATCAAGATTTTATTATTTTCATCTTTAATACTCATTTTTCTTTATTTAGATCAACAAGAAGTATAAAGTTTGCGTCTTTAGTGTTTTTTTTGCTTTATCTAGACCAACAAATTTAAAATACTTTATAAAAGAATCACAACAAACATAAGTGACTAAATGAAGAAAAATCCTTAAATTGCAATACATGGAGCAAAATAACTAATTAGTGTGAAAACGAAGATAATTATGAAAAGTGGGATCATATGGAAATTTGTTTATTTTGAGATTATAAAGGTCTTGAAGTTAATTCATAATTGAATAATCACTATTGTAATGTTACGTTGGTTATATGCATGCGACTCTTTATATTTGATTTCATACTATAAACAATTTTGTTTTTTGATATTTTTATCCTTTTCTTTTAAATTTAAATTTTTCTCATTGTTTATTATGCATTATAAGCATTGTCCATAGTGAGGTGATTATCAGGGTGTTCAGACAAATACCCTTCGTCGAAAAATTATAATGTATATATAGATGAAATGTTGTTTGATACAGTTATATTATAAAATTTGGATACCTTTGGATCAACTTGAGGGGTAGCTTAGCCATATGAAACCATCTTTGAAGTGTCTAGATGTCCGTGTGCGCTAGTTCGAGACCTGTTGGCTTCGGTTCTTTTCTAATTTTTAAAGTAACACACAACCAACATCACCCCTTAAAATAATAATAATAATTAATTACTTTTTATATCTATTAATTTTAATTAATAATAATAGTTAATAAATTTGTCGTTCTTATGTTGTTATTTATTAAAATAATCCTAATTAATTTTTATAGTAACACGCAACCAACCTCACTCCTTAAAATAATAATAATAATAATAATAATACTAATAAATTACTTTTTATATCTATTAATTAATTGATAATTATAGTTAATAAATTTGTTGTTTTTGAACTGTTATTTATTACAATAATCCTTAATTAGTGATGGACAATGTAAAATCTATAAGAAATAAATAAATATATCAATAACCAATTGTATTTCAAACAAATATGTCTTTTACTTTATTTATTTATTTATTTATACTTTTCGTTAAAACTTTAAAATAAAACTTAAAAGTAATTCTATAACTTCGCCAAAATTAAAAGCAAAAATGCTACACAAAGAAATATAAAAAAATTGTTTGATTTTGCTCTCTGTTCTTAGAGGCTAGCAAAAGCCTAAAAAAAAATTTTAAAAAAAATTTAGATTGAACTCTCTTCTCTTTTTTTTTTCCTCGGTTCATCCACATCATTTTAAATTTAATATGAACTCAGTAGATTTACATATTATGCATTTTGATTTTTAAAAATTTGGTGCATTCATTCATTTAAAAAATGTCAATTTCAATATTGTGTAGTTTGATTTTAAATATTCTTGATGCATCTTTTAAGAAAAAAATACTCATAGTTTGGACACCCTTTATAAAATTTTTAGCTACGCCATCACTGTTTTCAAGCATCACAATCTACGATCACACCCCTAAAAGATCATGTATATTTCAAAACCTTTTTGTAACTTGACTATCTATTAATTTTAGAAAAAACATAATAGGAGTCGCTACTTAATTTTAGAAAAATTAAGAAACCATTTTTTTTTAAAAAGAAATTTTTTGAAAGAATTTTTTTAAAAATATACCAGAGTCGGGTAAGGGTTCAAGCAATCCAGGAAGGTATTAAGCACCTTAAAAGATCCGCTAATACGCGATTGACCGACGGAGCTAAAAGTTTAGCTAATTTTTAAAAGAAACTTAAGATTACTTATGAAAAATGTTATTTGAAAATAACAAAAGTCTTTTGATACTCATACACACATCTTATTCCAAGTAATGAAATAAGTCAAATGTTAAAGTGTCAAAACAATAATTTTAATTTAACATTTTATCTGAGTCATTTGGGTCGAAAAATCAACACAATAACCTAAACATGGATTTAAAAGTTAAATACTAACTATGAAAGAATATGAATAATTCTTAATTTAATCTTGAATCCTAGATTGTCTAATTTAAAATAGTTTGAAAATTTAAATACTCAAAGTAAATTAGTAATGAAATAGTGAAAGAGTGACAAATAATCTCCCGAGGATTCATCTAAGTTAGCCAAAAAAGAATTAGTAATCACAATAATAATAAACATAAATAATGAATGAAACAACTAAGATTTTCAGCCCACGCTGATAATCCTGGGGGCTGAAAGGGCTGCAATCAGCCATTGAAATCTGCCAGAGAGGGGAGTCCCTTGAGTGGATAGGTAGCAGCTATAGTGTTGATGACAGAAATATAAAGTAAAGAAACTCGTATAATTAATTGCTTTTCTATTATTATTTTTATTTAAAAATATTTTCTTATAATATATTTTAAATCATTTTTTTGAACTCAAATGACATATGTCACAATATAATTTGTCATTGTGTCATGTCATCGCAAGTACATCTCGCACACTATTTTTGGTCTGATTATCAAAAAAATGTCGAAAAGGTATCAATTCAAAGTGGTAGAGGTGTTCAATAGGTACAAGCTTTAGTTGAAGTGTTCAAATGAATTATGCGAACAACTTAAAATGGCCATTGATGACTTAAACCTTTATTTTACAACAACTTTCATGAAGTTGTTACATCCTTTACTTAATAAAGTTATTTTGTGAACTCCTTTGCTTAGCTGAAAGTTCTAATTTTCGAATAAAATAATTTTAAAATACTTACATATATGATAGCCCCATTTAGGAAAAATTACTTGAATCGATACATTTTAATAAATAATTATTAATTTTAGCGATATTTTTTATTTATTACCATTTATAGCAATATATAGTAATACTATGTTAAATCTGCAATATGTATTAAAAGTGAATTATGTATGCAATATAATGAATTATGACTATTTTTTAAAATATATGATGCTTGTTTGGTAAGAAATTGACACATTGAATTATAAGTGTATTAAAATGTGTGATAAATGTATTATCTATCAATAAAACTTGTATTATATGTGAATAATAAATTGTTCTTTGTAATATGTATTAAAATTGTATTATAAATATATTAAAAGGGATCAAGTGAAAAAAAATATATTATTGTTATAAATATTAAATATTTTCTTAATATACTATATTTATTTAAGTTTCCCCATTTTTAACGCGCTAATTGTAATAAATTCCCCTAGTGTAAACTGATAGGAATTATCACGTTGGTGTGGTGACAATTCGTGTGATTGTTGACAAGAGGCGTAACATCAATTAATTTTTTTGGACACCAATTTTCTACGAGGGCTTTCGACTAAATATACACTACGAGAAAACATGAACTTAGCTACAAAAATTATCTGTAATTTCTGGCTAGTCCATCACTTAAAAGCTAGGTAGTTTGTTTTTTTTATATTTCGTTGTCGATCCATAGCTAAATGAGATTAACATGAATTTTTTTTTTGTTTAGTTATAAAATTTTGTTTGTCACTAATTTCTTATTTTCTAAGAGAAATATGCGTACACTAGTCTACAATGATGTTCATCAATCAATTTTTGTTATGTATATATGTGAAGAAGATAAGAGGCCTAGAACTAGCTAGTTGCCAAAAATCAGCAATCTATATCACCTTATATGTTTTCTTTATATGTTTATATTTATTTTGTTCTTTTGGCTTCAATCTTTTTCCATTTGTTTATTGTGTTTGATAGATTGACTCTATTGATAGTATTGATTAGCGTTATTTGCTTAAACAAAAACATTATTACTTGGTGTTATATTTCCATCTTATTTTATTTTAAGAATGAAAGTTGCATAGATGCATATCAGGGAGATAAGATTAAGAATGAAGAGATGAGGTAGAAGTGACCTCGATAGAGGACAAGATGCAGAAAATGTGTCTAGATTTGTCTGGGCATGTGCATAGAAAAGGCATGGATGCCCGAGTGCGGTTGCCGGTGGTGTGAGAGGTTGGGTATGGATGACATAAAGAGAGGGATAGGTAGGCCGAAGAAATATTTGGGGAAAAATTATTAGACAGAACATGACGCAACTTCAACTTACCGAGTTAATTTCTAATGTCATGTGTCATGTTGAGCTTGAAGACAAGCGGCTTTA